ATACATAATTTATATGGAAATCAACTTTTTAGGCAAAAATATAACATTTAAAATGAAAAGTGTTATACCGGCATATTTGGCTAAAAATAGCAATAATCGGCCATACGGAAACTGTTGTACTCATGAATATGAAAACAATTATATGGAAATTAAGGTTATAGGCAAAAATATAACATTTCAAATGGATATAACAGTATGAAAACTGTTATACAAAGACTGTTATACTCGTATACTTACCCAATAATAGCGATAATCGTTACAATGAAAAAACAATTATATGGCAATAAGGGTTATAGGCAAAAATATAGCATTTAAAATGGATATAACAGTATGAAAACTGGTATACAAAAACTGTTATACTCGTATAGTTGCCCAAAAATAGCGATAATAGTTACAATTTAAAATAATAAATCATAAAAAGTTTCTAAATATATGTTGCACACAAAAATTATTTTATGTGCAACATAAAGCCTACTTTTAGGCAATCTCACATTACTCATTAAAATATTAATATACGATAGATATTTTTTTCTACGAAGAGATGTTCTAACAAAAAAAACCTGTTTGAAGCGTACAACAATTTCCAAATTGTTATCTCAAAGTTATTACACTCGCAATTTGTCTCAATTCTATTGCAAATATGCCTCCAATCAAAATAATGCATTTTAGAATGTGTATAACAGTTTCAAACTGTTATACTCTTATGTTAGCCAAAAATTAATGTAATAACTGCACTATAAAAATAAATCGCAAGAAGTTTTTTTTATAAGAAGTTAAAGTTAACAGTTCATAAGCAGCATTTTTGGAGGCATTTTCTTAAAATTAACAATTTTGTTTTTTGAAAAAAAAATTTTTTTTAATATTAGTTAAAAAATAATTGTTATACCCAAACTGTTTTCTTATATAATTTTAAAAAATACGTTGTTTTTAAGGTGTATAACAGTTTTATAACTGTTATACTGAAACTGTTATACACGATATTATTGGAAATTTATACGAAAAAATGCATATTACAGAGATATAAGTAGTTTTGGAGTGCTTAGCAGTTCACAAGAAGCTTTGAGACATCGTCTCAAAATTAATGTTTCTTGTAAAAAAAAATTTTGGTTGAAATATGAGTTAAAAAATAACTGTTATACTGAATTTGTCATACACAAAATTTTGTCTAAATCATATGAATCTTTACCCGCAAATACGGTTTTTAAAGGTTTATAACAGTTTCATAACTGTTATACTGAAACTGTTATACACGATTTTTTTTGGAAATTCATAGAAAAATATGCATAATATTAACATATAAGCAGTTTTAAAAGAGTTTTAGAGCTCATTTTCAGCTCCATTTGAAAGCAAACTATTCTTTAATGAATTACAAAAGGCGTCCATTACACCTTTCCACATTTTTCTCTTCTAATCAAGAAATGTTTTCTGTGTCCCCCTCTTCTTAAAAAAAAATCAAGATTTTCACACATCCACAACATGCCATTTGACATTGCATACATTTTAGGCTTGTTTTGTGTAATCAACAAAATTTATTGCATACTTGTTGGGGATCAAGTTAGCTGCTGCTGCAGCAACAAACCAACCAACCAGATAGATATTAGCCTACAATTACAACAAGAAATGGAAAAGGCACCTAAAAATTGGCATTGTTGAACTTTGTGTGTGTGTGTGTGTTGTGATGCTTTTCCTTCTTCGTTTTCGCCTTTTTTTGGTACTTAGAGAACATGTGTCAACAAGCAATTTCAGGCTAATTTTGCAACGTTATTTAAGCATACTTTAGACCACTTGAAAAACGACGACGACAAGCGAACGAACGTAAATGGCAAGCGGAATGCATGCGACTAATGGATGTTTATGTTTTTCAACGTCTAACGAACGAACGAATGAATGTTGGCTTCAAGGAATGTCTTTGAATACCCCTCTACACCAAACCCCTTGCCTTGGATGTCGCCTCCTTTGCTTTCCCTTTGTGAGCTGTTTCGCATAGCTCTTTTTACAAACAATTGTTGGCTATATAACTGCAATCTGATTATCACCATCATCATCTGTGCCAAAAGATTGGTGACAAATGATAATTGCAGCGTGTTTGCATGCAAATCATTATCAGGATATAAGCCAAGAGAACCCCTCCGCTCTCTCTCTCCCACCCCATCATTACATTACAGAAATGCACAAGAGAAGGAGAGAGGATGGCTGTACAAAGAATGCCGAGCCATCCATCCATATGGTTGGTTAGTAGCAGAACGTGAAAGCAACCAAGCAATCTATGGATATTACAAGTTCTTTGTAATGTGGCCTGGATGCCATACATCAGCAGGACGATGAAGCAGAAAAAATACCGGGAGAAACAGAGAAAATATTTTCCATATTGCTTTTGATACCTGAAGCCGCGCTAGTTCTTTCTAGTCTTTCTTTGTGTTGTGTGTAGTAGATTCCTCTCTGTTAGAACACAAACACACACACATGGATATGCAAATGTTTACCGTCATACTTGGGTAACAAAAACACACACACATATACACATGTTCATATGAAGTTACACATAAATTTTGCCTTGCTGCAAAATATTTCCTTTGTATTGAAAGGGGAGGCTAAAGGCAGACCCCTTTAGTTTCTCTGCAGTTTGTGATGCATTATTTTCTCTACCGCTCCGTCCGCTCACTGAGTCCCTTCCTATCCCTAGAGTGTTTGGCCACAAAACTAGGAACATGGCACTGTTTACTTTTCTTCTTCCCATTTTTTTTCAAAAGGACACAAGGCTACCTAGCAGACTATTTAAAAATGCATAACATCGCGACGACAACGACGACGTTGTTTGTTGGTCTATGTGGATATTTCTCTTTGCTAGCTACGGTGTGGTCTGGTTTACATGGGGGCCTGGTGGACCCAGGCATGATGTGATAGCCTTTTGTACATATTTAGGTAACCATCAAAAAGGCATTAACCACCATGTGTAAAGGAGTCGACAACAAGTTGTTATGAACTGTTATGCAAAAACGGGATAGGTACGGCTGCTGCATCTGTAGCTGCAGTATATCATGTTATCGCCTCTGCATCACAAGGCAATGACATGAAGAGTTATTGCGGTATATGAGAGAAGACAAAGAAAGGCTCTGTTGTTGTTACTTTTGTAACGCAGATAAAACTAAATTAAAATGTAAATAAAAATGTAGATTGCAGCAAAGGTTCACGACTTTTTTGTGGGGTCGCAAAGGGAAACTATTTTAATTTTTCCACAATAAAATACACAAAAAGTTCTTTTATAGTGTATACCAGTTTCTAATATAGCTAAAAATAAATTGCTATGCCTTTTACGTGCTTTAAAATGGCAAAACATTAAAAATCCAACGTTTTTCTTGAGTATAACAGTTTACGAAACTGTTATACTGTAACTGTTATACACACCAAAATGCCGAAATTTAAAAGCGAATAGAAAAACAATAAGTTTTAGGTGTTAACCACAATTTTTAAGTGTTATACTGAAACTGTTATACATTAAAAATTTGATAGAAATTGGAAAAATAAACATTTAAACAGCATAAAAATTAAAATAAAAAAATATTGTAATGCATTATTTTAATATATTAATATATTCTTGAAGAAAAAAATCTGTGAAACTTTCCAATTTTGCTGCATTTTTAAAGTATAACAGTATAACAGTTTCACAAATGCCTCAAAATAAGTTGATATTCCTTTAAATGAGATTTAAATAGGAAAATATTGAATTTCTAACTATTTTCGAGTGTATAACAGTTTGTCAAACTGTTATACTGTAACTGTTATACACATTAAAACTACATAAAATTAATTTTCAATTGAAAAGCAATAATAATTTTAAGTTAAAATTTTTTTTTTAATTGTTATATTGAAACTGTTATACACGGAAAAGTTGATAAACATAGAAAAAAATAAGAATTTAAAATGCTTGAAAATTAAAAACAAAACAAAAAGAATTAAATATACATCAACGATTACTTTTTATGTATTCAATGCCGGAACGATTAAAAAAAAACCAAGAAACATCCTAAATATATAACTATTTTTAATGTATAACAGTTTCAAAGGTCAAAAGTGGCTCAAAATAAATTGTTATACTATTAAACGACTTCAAAATTAGAAATAATTACACTTCGAGCATTTTTCGAATGTATAACAGTTAACCAAATTGTTATAAACATGAAAATGTATAATTTTGAAAGCCATTTAAAGATCAACCATTTTTAAGAGTTTATATAAAATTTAACTGTTATACAGAAACTTTTATACTAAAAAATAAAGCGAATTAAAGAATTTTAATAGTTTTCCAAACTGCTATACACACAAAATTGGCAAAAGATCACCAATAATGTCTTAAATGTTTTGTATAATTTTAACTGTTATATTAAAACTGTTATACACAGTTTTAATAAAATAAATAAAAAAAAATTTTAATGACAGCAAATCATTTCAAACTTTTTTTAATAAATAATTATAGGCATAGAAAAAATATTAAAATAAGTTTTGTCCGAAGAAACCCTAAAAATTATTCCAGAATGGTGATTTTACGTGTATAACAGTTTCAAAATGGACTAAAAATATCATCACCAACATTAGAATAATTTTAAATTAAAAAATTATTTGCAATTGAGGTATTTTCGAGAGTATAACAGTTTTCCAAACTGTTATACAATAACTGTTATACTCCTAAAAATGCTGTAATTTTGAAAATCCATAAAATTCCAATCATTTAAAGTGTATAACAATTGCAAAAATGTGATAATGAAACAGTTATACACAGAAAATTTGATGAAAATAAAAATAATAACAAATTTTAAAATTAATTAACTTAAATAACTTTAGGGGTATATTTGACTCTATTTTTTATATTTTTTATGTCTATTCCTCTTTATATTGAAAAAAATAATTAATTTTTTGTAATTAAAATTACATTATGTCCCTTAAAAAAAACTTAATTAAAAAAATTATAAATAACAAATAAAAATTAAAAAATAGAATCTTACATTGTTTTGATTCAGGGCATTTGTCAGCACATCATTGACACCACTTACCTAGAAAGGGAAGAAGAAGAAAACAAAACATTATTAATATTGGTTTCACATTAAAAAACACAATAACAAATTAATTATAAATTAATCCTAGAAAAAAATACAAAAAATACAATACAATTTACCATGGTAAAAAAAAAAACACATACACAAATCAATAACCCTAACAACAAGAGGATTTTCAAGAGAAGAATAGATTTTTCGGGCGATCAAAAAAAAGGTTGATAGAGAGATGAAAAAAGGACATGAAGAATATTGTTGACCTTATTTGTGTATTGTTTTTGTGATGTCGTAATTGTTGTTGCTGCTGCAACAACCCCTAATTAAAAGAACATCAATTATAGGTAACTAAATGAACTTTGTTGTTGTTGTTTTTGTATAACATCAATATAAGGGGGAAGGATTTTGTGAATTTCCTCCAAAAATGTAATTTCATTGGTCGAACCTTGTTTAATTTTTGTGTTCGTGTGTGTGAACATGTTCAAACGGAAGGATTAAAAGGGAAATGTTGAAATCAAAACAAGATGTAAATTTGTTTTATGCATAATAAGCAAAAAAGGGAGAAAATCATTTCAACCATGACATAATCATAAGGCCATTAAAGGGATTACACATCAAAAGGACACATAGCAAATTATACAAAAAAAAAAAAAAAAACTTTGGATACAAGGCTTATTATTATTCACATATAAGGTTCATGTATAGTAAAATGATTTGTATTTGAAAACCCTAAAAAATATATTTAAAAAATGTACTGTAAGTACACCTCAGGAAAATATTTTCCACAAATTCTTGCCTGTGAATAAATCTGTAAAGAACCAGTAAGGAAAGTAGTAAAGTCGGACTGGACCGACTATATGATACCCTTCACCACTATATGCATATAGTATGTGTATCCTAACAATTTAATGACATGAAAACCTATGCTAAATTTAATTTCAATCAGATTTAAGGAAATCGATTTATGGCATAGATGATATATGCAACTCAGTATGCCGCACTGTTAAAAATATAATCTCAATCAGACACCCGTTCGAAATAAATATGGTACGTTGTGCAAAATTTCTTGTCAATCGGACAAACATTAGTAGATTGGTGCATCATTTACTAATATATATATATATATATATGTGGGACCTAAATCTAAATCTGAACCGATATTCTAGAAACTTAACAAACCTCATTCTAGACTAAATTTAGTACGCTATGCCAAATATGGTGGAAATCGAAAGATATATAGGGATTTTGGTGCAACATTTACATCGGACGAAAATATATACGTGAGCTATATTAAAATCTGAACCGATTTTCAGGTTCATCATCTTTCTAGACTTAACTTAGTACGGCATGCAAATTTCGTGAAATCGAAAGATATATAGGGGCTCCATTTACATTAAATCGGACGAAAATATATATGGGAACTATATTTAAATCCGAACCGATTTTCTCGGAACTTAACACACATCATTCTAGAACAAATTTAGTACGCCATGCCAAATTTGTGCAAATCGAAAGATATTTAGAGATTTTGGTGCACCATTTACATTAAATCGGACGAAAAATATATATGGGGGCTATATCTAAAACTGAACCGATTTTCAGGAAACTTAACACACATCATTCTAGACCTAAATCATTGACGGACAGACGGACATGCGTAAATCGACACAGAAAGTGATTCTATGCATATTTTCAGAAGGAACCATGTGTCTATCTCGTTTCCTTTTGCCTGTTACAAACATATGCACAAAGACATAATACCCTGTACCACAGTGTGGTGAAGGGTATAAAAATCTACGCCTGCGCATAGCCTTACTATTAATTATTTTTAAAAAAAATCCACGCCTGTGGATACATTTTAAAAAATTATAGCCATTCTTTTAAATATTTCTAAAAAACCAATGCCTGTGGATAGTCCTTTTTTAAAACTCAATGCCTGTGTATAGTCCTTTTAAAAATATTGCTCAAAAACCCCACTCCTGTGGATAATCCTTTTAAAAATATTTTTAAAAATCCAAACCTGTTTATAGTCCCTCAAGAATATTTTTAAGAAATCCACGTCTTGCCGTAGGGACTTTAAAAATATTTTATACTTTTTGCCATATGCCCTCTAAAAATATTTTGAAAAATCCCCGACTACTTATTGTGTCTCAAAAATCGCTCAAAAAATACTTTTATAAAGTCAACACCTGTCAATAGTCTTCAGTAAAAATAATTGCCAAAAACAAATATTTATTTTTAAATATCTATCAATTGAATTTCCCTTTTGTCAAACTATAGCATCCTCATCTATTCATAGATCCCATCATACAATATGTCAATACACCACCACTCTCCCACTCCTCATCCTGTCATGTTTAACAAAACTATATCCCTTATAAGCCATAATATATTGTTGAATGACAATATCTATCAAAAAGAAATTTACATTTTTATTATCAATACAACAACCCATCCAGGTTTTCTATTTTTATGGCATTACAACAACAACAGCAAATAAAGATATTTCAACATTTGCGAAAAAGGGGGTCGTAAAAAAAGGACGGAACTAGTCCCACGACAATTATTTCTTATTCAAACATTTTAAGAAAATTGCTATCTTTTAGAGTAAATAGTAAAGATGGAAAGCGCACACAGCTAAACAGTGAAAAATCAACAACAAGGATGTCAAACATGAAAAAAAAGAACTAAAAGGGAAACCCTTTCCCCTCCCCTTCTCGCCACGCCTTATTTTTTTTGCCAACAATAAGTTTATGATACACTCTCTAAAAGCGACACACTCTGGAGAGACACATCTGGCTGCTTATATTTTATTTACTATTGCGTAGGGATTTACTGTTATCACTCGTAAGTCCTTGTACTGACACACACACACACACACCGACTTTCTCTTCAGATGTTGTCAACAATATTATGACTTAAAAGGTAAGAAGATAAAAAAAGAGAAAAAAGGAATAAAATAAGTATGTCCCACCACTACACCCTACGCAAAAGGAAGCAAGGATGTCTCTAAAAAACAAATATTGGTAATTTCTTATTGATCGCCAGGATTATCCTTTATATTGTTAAGAAACATAAATACAGACACAACTAAAGTACGATTAAGAACACCTTAAGAAACACGAAGAAAAAAAAAAACAATATGTTTTTTGTGAACATGAGATAAAGGACTTGGGGATTTGGGGAACTCGAAAAAGATATGAGATTAAATATAAAAAGGATACAAATTGTTTAAGGAATAATAGTCCTTGTGAACAAAATAAAAAAATCTCATTGTCTTTATAGGATAAGACACTAATGGTTGGTATATATTGACTTTTAAGAAGGTACAAATTTTTAGTCCTCAAAAAAAAAAAAAAAAAAGGAGTAGAAGACCAATTGGGGATCCTGCTTAAGTTTAAGTGAGGCGGAAAACTATATATTTTATTGTGGATAATTCTAAGGGTCATTTCACTTGATTTTTAGCTAGAAAGCAAGGACTAAATTGGTGGCGTGAAAAAAAAATTATATAAAATTATAAAAAATAAAAGTATTATTTACTGATGGTCTTCGAAAAAATATTTTTAATAATCCACGCCTTGCCTGGGCCGTAAAAAATATTTTTAATAATCCACGCCTTGCCTGGGTCTTGAAAAAATATTTTTAATAATCCACGCCTGATGATGGCCATTGAAAAAATATTTTTAAAAATCCACGCCTGATAGTCTTGAAAACCTATTTAACAAAAACCACACATTTTTAAAAAAATCCACGCCTTATGAAAGTCTTGAAAAGCTATTTTTAAAAAATACACGCAGTATGATAGTCTTGAACAAATATTGTTAAAGAATGTACCACTTTGGGATAGTCTTGAAAACTATTTTTAATAAATGCCACTCCTTATAGGCCCTCTAAAAATATTAAAAAAAAATCCACGCCTTTTTACAGACCCTTAAAAAGCATTTTAAAAAAATCAACGTCTTTAGAAACCTTCTAAGAATATTTTAAAAAAAATGAAACCTCCAAAAATATTTGTAAAAACTCCTCATCACGACATTTTATTAAATTGTAATATTTTCCGAAGATATAAAATAAAGAAATTTAATTATTCTTAAAAAAATCATTAAATTATCTACCTCCCGCTATTAATTCATTAAAACGGAATATTTCAAAATTTTCGCTTCCTTTCGCAATGAACGAAAAAAATATTTATTCCCAATTTTCCGCTACTTATGTTCTTGTCATTTTCTATTTAGTTTAGATAAAAAATGTAAAATATATATAGAAAAAAAATTGTACAAACCCCGAAAACCAGCTAGAAAACCACAAACCGCCATTACACGACGTTGTTACAAAAACCCTTAAAGGCATTTCCTTTAAAATAAAAAGCCATGATAGAAAATTATGTTTTATAACTTGGAGGCATAAAAATGAAAACCAACCAAATCTTCATGGCAATGGTTTGGACAAGCTAACAGATTTTTTTTACTTTTTTTCGTTATTGGTGTTGCCTTTATCTGTAGGGGTTGTATTTCAAAGTAAACTGTCCATGTCATGTTTTTTTCATTCGTTCGTTTCTTGGTTTTGCTGCCTATCTTTCTATGGCTTTTGTATTCGCAAAATCACACCCACACAAGTACATTGAAAACAGAAATATTTAAATACTAAGCCCGAAGGAGAGCGAAGAAGATCCATAATAAAAAAATAACATGAAAATGCTAGTCTTCATATTTCTTGCCTCTAAGAAGTAGTGTAACGAACTCCGCTTTTTTAAGACTCTAAAATTTATAGTTTTACTTTATTTAATTTCACTTGGAAAGTCAAATCGTTTACGAGGAAAAAACTATTTTGGGGAAACCCAAATTTAGGTGTGTCATTTCATTTATATTCAGTTTTGGCAAAATGCTTTGTCGTTTCGTTTCTTCGTTTTCAAAAAAGAAATAAAATGCATATTCTGCTCTGAGTCCTTTAAAAATGAGAATAAAAAACATACGCCTTAAAATATGCAATGCTTTTTGCTGTGG